CATTTTGTTCTGTTACTTGAAAATTATTGTGATTGAACTAACTGTTTGAAGATATAATAAGATTTTTTCTTCTTCTGCTGCCTTTCATTTTAAATCTCTTGTATATTTTTATATTGTTATGGAATTGTTTTGTATTTTTTAAAATAAGTAAACTTTATACCATATCAAGTACAAAGCTGTTAAATAGGGGTTTTATGAAAAGGGTCTTTTATATTACTTTAGATTCAAACTAACTAATTCAAGCAAATATAAACAGACAGGAATAATTGTAGTAACTTATGGGAGAGCAGCACATTTTTGCAACTTCACGTTTCTTCTTCTTTCAACTGTTCTGTATTCAGGGGTCTCCATCTCACTCTGTCCTCACTCCAACTACCTCCACGTTCTCTCTAACTGCATCCATATATCTCGTCTTTGTCTTTTTCCTGGCAGCTGCATTTCTAACATCCTTCTACCAATATACCCACTGTTTCTTCTCCTCTGGACATGTCCAAACCATCTCAGTCTGGTCTCTAACTTCATCTCCCAGTTGTTAAACCTGTGCTGTACCTCTGATGATCTCATTCCTAATCTTCTCCGTCCTTGTCACTCCTAAGAAGAACCACAACATCTTCATTTCTGCCTCTTCCAGTTCTTTCTCCTGTCTTTTTATCAAAGCCACTGTCTCCAAACCATACAATAATTAATTGCTCAACGTGCAACGTTTCAGTTTCATACTAAATGAATAGTTTCACCTGAAAAATGGGAAAAGTTTACTTTCTTCATTAATGTTGATTAGCATTTTTGCACAGAATCATAATTTACATGTGTGTTTGTGTGCGTCTGTGTTTCAAGGTTTCTACATGTACATAGAGACATCAAGGCCACGTAAGGATGGAGACCAGGCACGGCTCATAAGTCCCTTATTCAACGTGGCACCTAAAAACCCCTACGGCCTCCCCAACCCACCTGCCTATTGTTTTGGCTTCTTCTACCACATGTATGGAAAACATATAGGTAAGACTCATTCTTTATATGCACAGCTGTCCTCATTTTGTGTAATATATAAATAAACTGAATTGAACTGAATCTTGTGTGACAAACCTCTGAGTTTTAAATTGACTGAAAACCCCATAAAGAAAAATATATTTCTGACTCTTTTGGTTACCTGAGCAGGAAAACCCATACTCAAGTTGACTTTATAATTTCCTTCTGAGTGAAGAAGTTATTTTTTTTTTTCATCTATAACTAACAAAAATATATTTTTTAAAAGATTGCATTTAATTTCATTTACAAAATTCTAGATGTCTTGAAGTATTTTAGAGTTTTTTTTCCAGTTTTGGAGCCATCTTGAACATGCATTTTGTGTCTACTTTGTGTTTCATTGTGGACTTTTGGCTTTTTTAAAGGAAAAATTATTTGTTAGATAAAAAAAAAAAAAACAACAACAGTGCTACCACAGAGGAAAAGTCCAACAGTACACTCTTGTTCATTTCATTCAGTTCCAGGGTTATTCCCTATGGTAGATGCAAGTTAAAGATTTGAGCAGTCAAGCTAAAATTTAGTAAATGCTGCTGACAGATGTTTCAAGCAAACGATATCTCATTTTTGCAACAAACTCCTTCAGAGGCCTGCACACAGATCCTGGGCATTAGCTCTTACATTCATCTCTGAACGTAGATAACAACCCTGTATGGACCATTTGAAGATAGCAGAGTGGCTGAAGGAGCACTCTGCAGCTTACGAGTGACTCTCTTCACCGGGGACCCAATCAGTCGACCACAAGCACTCTCACTCTGAGGATGTGCTGTTTGTAGTGTTTGTGCATTCGGGAGTTATGAGTAAGACTCAGTCTGTGGCTGCAAAACAGACACTTATACTTTGTTGGAGGCTTTTTGAGGTGAAATCTCTGTCTCAGGTTCACCTCTTATCATTATTGCACATGTTAGAAGGTAGGTGAGAAGCTTTTCCAAACAGTGCCGCTCTTTACATAATAAATGATTTGTTCGGTCTTGTTCCACCCACGCAAAGCAATTTGCACTTTAATGAAAAGATTATAGAGAGAAGCGGAAAAGGAGCAGCGTATTATGTAAAACTATCAAAACTGAACTTGTGTGCATGTGGGACGTATGTCACAGCGGAGTGATGCAACGAGAAGTTGCACCACAGTGAGTGTTGTGCAAGTGGACACTTCACCGGTTCAAAATTTGGTCCTCAAAAATTAAAACTGTGTTCAACGTTTTTAACATCTTTAGCGTTTAGCTAAACATCTAAAAAAAATAATAATAATTTGCTTTAACATCTTTTTGCATGTTTGTTTTCTGTTATAATCTGCATCATATTATGGGTAAATCTCAAATAAAGCTGCTCTTGTTCATGTATTTTTATTCTGTTTTGTTGCCAGATATCAAAACGACATTTTAAATACTGACTGAAGGGTGACCAAATCAACTATCTTTTTTATTTTGGTCGCTTTCAAAGCACTACGAGCTTGATGTAAAATATAGTTTTTATATGAGCAGAGCGTATTACAGAGTCCCAACTCATGTAAATTTAAGACACTGTGCTGTTATTTCAATAATGCTTACATGTATATAAATCCAAGATAAACGTTATCAAATCTAAGCAAATCTATTTTTTTTTATTTAGCACAATTTAAAAACTGTTGTTGGCCAAAGTGGTATGCATTATACAAATAGTGAGAAGACTGTACAAAAAACAGAAGATTTTAAAAAGATATAATAAAAAAAATTAAAATAGGATAAAATCATAAAAAACAATAAAAGAGGCAGTGAATAAACAAACAAATAAATAAAAAGTCAACACTCATGCTGTAAAAGCCATGCAGTGAGTACAAAGGTGCTCTGTAGATGAGATCTAAAAACACCAGCGTTGAAGCCTGTCTGATATGAAGAGGCAGCTGGTTCCACAGTTTAGAAGCTACAACTGAAAAGACCCGATCACCTCTGTGGACCAGCTTAGACCACGGGACAACCAAAAATAAGTGATCACTAGATCTGAGCAATATAGAGTGCACATGGGGCTGCAGGAGGTCAGACAGGTATACAGGAGCCTGCCCATTCAGGGCTTTATAGGTCAACAATAAAACTTTAAAATCAATCCTAAAATGAACAGGGAGCCAGTGAAGCGATGCCACCACTGGGGAGATCTGTTCAAGCTTCTTTGTTTGTGTTAAATTATGAGATGTAGCATTCTGGACCAACTGTAGAAGTGAGAGGCTGGCCCGGCTAACATCTATATTCAAAGAGTTGCAGTGGTCGAGTTGGGAGGTATTAAAAGCATGGATCTGCCATTCAAAGTCTTTAAAGGATAAAAATGGTTTTACTTTATATAACAATCTCTGGGGGGGGGGGGGGGTTAAGGATCTTTTTTACAACAGAACTAATCTGTTTTTCCAAGTTAAAATTAAGAATCAAATATTACTTCCAATTTTTTTTATTTATCTATTTTTTTACTTAAAGTTTTACAAATGGCTCCAAGCTAACCAATTTTGTAAGAGAAGCACTTTGGCTTTCACTGGGTCCAAAAATGATGACTTCAGTTTTAACCTCATTAAAATTCAGGAAATTTGAACACATCCAAACCTTTACCTCAGAGCAGCAGTCAAGCAGGGGTTTCAGTGAAACAGAACAAATTCACATCATCTGTAAGTAAACTGTAGTAGATGTTGTCTGCATAAGAATTAAAGAAAATGGCGCCTAAGGGGAGCATATAAATGGAAAATAATATTGGTCCAAGAATAAAACCTTGTGGTTCTCCACATGTGAGGGAGGCAGGGGGAGAGATAGATTCTCAGAGGCACATGCAGAAACTCCTGTCAGACAAGTAAGAACCAGTTTAGTGCAGAGCCTTTAATACCACATTGTTACAACCTGAAAATCAGAATCCTGTGGTCTTCGGTATCAAAGGCAGCTTTCAGATCTAAAAGCAACAGAACAGCAGAGTTCTCCTGAATCTGTAGCTAATAAAATATTAAAAACCTTTAAAAGTGCAGTTTCTGTTGTTTTTATAAGATGCATATTTTCTCTAAAGCCTGTATCTCATTGGACTGTGACTAGTTGAGACCAGTGCTTAATTTGAACTGGATCTTGCCAGAACAAGATGCAAAAACTCTCTTATTTTGTCAATGTGCATTCTGGCAATTGTTTGCTTGGATCTGGCAACTCTCAGGCTGACTAATAATAAAGTTATGAACAAATATGACTGCCTTGTCATTTTGGGAGCTATGCTTGAACCGTGTTGCTCCCCTCTGCTGCTGAGACAATAAATAACTCAGACACCTCTGCTGCTGTTTTTATGACGCTCTGGACACCTGGCATCAACAGCACGCATGCAACAAAGAGTATAAACTCAAAGCGAGAGTGATACCTGCCCCCTCTTTCCTCTTTCACGCGGATGAAATGTTTTTGTTTTATCAAAGAGTTTGTCAGAGCACAATTTTGATGGGTTATTTTTTATAACAACAGAAGTAATGTTTAATAAATGTTAGGACTCTATTATTTGCTAACAAAATATAGTTTATGTCGTTAAACAACTTGACAGGTTTTGTCTTGTGAGCATGCAAATTCCGCAGGACACACACCCCCGCCAAGCCTGTCCGCCCGCTATTTGCATTCCGCCATCGATCCGTTTACAAATTAAGCCCTGGTCAAGACGCAGAATTGTTAAAAAATTCAACATTCTTAATTTGTAATCGCATTGAACTAATACAACACTTTTGTGTTCCAACATACGTAGGTGAAAATGAGGGTTGATTTGTAGCAATTTAGTCATAAATTATCTGAATTATGTCTCAGTTTAGTCACAATTTGTTTATTTATTTGGTCTTTAGTCAGTCACAATTTGGTTTCATGTGTCTCTAAACCTTTTCAAATTTGTCTCACATTTTTCAAACTTTCTGGCTCACAAAAATAACGTAAAACTTTAAGATGGGGTCCAGATGCCAGAAATGGCTCTATTGTATGGGGAAAAAACTTAGTTGGGCATGTTGGAAATCAACAATGGTAAGATAAACTGGGAACGTTTGTAAATGCATATGTTTTGAGACACTTTAGAAATTCCCTTGTTAATGGCTTTTGTATTTTGTCATTAACAGTCCCAGTTGGTCTGTCATGGGGAAGAAACAGATGAGTCATAAAGCAAAGCTCTTGATTAACTAGTCCATCTATGATCCAACCCTTACCTTATGGTCAGGCGGTACAGATCATGACCAAAAGAATAAAGTCACAAGCAGATGAAATGGACTTATTTTGTAGGAGGACCAGACTCAGCTTTAAAGATAAGATGAAGAGCTTAATCATCTGGGTGGAGCCGATTAGAGCCGCTGCTTCTTCTGCATTAAACGCAGTGAGTTGAGGTGGTTCAGGAATCTGATTAGGAAACTTTCCACTGGACGTTGTCTAGGCATGTCTCACTGGAAGAAGACCCCAGGGCAGATCCAGAACTTTCTTGCTACAGGGATAAGATCCACTCCGGCTTGGGAATTTCCCAGGAAGTGGAGTATGTTGCTGAGAAGAATGTCTGGGTTTTCTTCTTAGACCTGCTTCATCCTTGAAATAAGCACAAATAGGAAGCAGAAAAAGGATGGATGATTAATCCATTGTACAAACAAATGATTCATTTTTTAAGTAATTTAAAAAATACATACAATTAATTTACATAGATTACATATTGCTTTATAAATAAAATTGATTGATTGATTGATTAATTGGTTGATTGATATTGATAATAACAAAGATCACTGCTAAGGCTTCAATTAGATCAATGTTTGTGTAAAATACATGTTATTTCCAGTATATTTCAAGACCCTTGAAGTTACGTCTGACATAAAAACTGCATCAGGTCCAAAATTTAACCAGTCTACTTTTGGGGTTTCTTCAGTGGATATGCAGAGTGAAAGTGTCTTGGCAAGTGGGCTTGGCCCCAAACATCTGGAGAAATGGACGTGAAGGCAGTCGGGAGAATCTAAGGATAGAGGTGTTGCGGGGCAACTCAGCAGGGAGATGAGAGCTCCTCCGGCTCCCTGCCGAGGTTGAGTAGGCCGTGACATTTCCAATTTGCTCAAATTGATCGCCAGCCAGACCTTCTCTTCCCTGCCCTCCCTGTCTGTGGTGAAATCCATGCCCAGACTGTGGGGCGGTATGATGAATGGGCTAAATGTCAAGGACTAGAAACCCAGCTCTGACCATCCATAGCTGTGCCCTGTTTACTATACTGTCTCTCTGTGGCTGTGAGAGAAATTGAGACTCTTGCTGTTTTTCACTCGATATGATTTATGATCACTTAAATGTTATGTGTTAATATTGAAAGTTTTCAATGGTTGAGAAGCCGTTTTGTGCGTATAGAGTTGTGACTCATAGCCCTATTAGATGTGGTGCAGCTCCATCCTCAAATTCTGGGAGTCTGACACTTTGTGGTTGGGTGCTGTTGAGAGGGCAGTCAGAGCCAAGCCATGGTGCAACAACACTAGAAGAATATATGTATATATCAGCCAATAGAAAAATAATGCCTACACACTGATGCGATAAGCAGCAAAGCCTGAAAGAAACTCCCCCGTTGTTTGCTTGGAGGGAGCTACCTGAGACAAGGTCACACTCAATTACTGAAACGCACATCAAAGTTTGACTTTGGAGCCCACGGTGAATTTGTTTATAGGATTAGGTTCCCAGTAAAAGCACAGCAAGCGCATCTGTTTTAAGCCTGACCTTTTTTAGTCGCAATTTTATCAGC